TAAATTACGTCCCCACGGTAACTGAAATAAACACGAGTGTTCACTAGGGTGTTTCATTTTGAAAAAAGTGATGAATTTTTGATAGGCCACCCTCCAGTTCGATTCATAGCCCCAAAATATGAACCTGTGCAAAAAATGGTAAAGATTGATGAAGGTTTAGAGGTCGCGCCAATGATTTGGATTTTGTATGGAGATTTTGGTGAATTAGTATGGGAAATTATTGATTTTCGTTTACATTGCTCTAACTTTGGTTGTAGTTGTCCAAACGTTGAAAAAAAAAATATGTGGTTGTCATGACAATGATCAACAAGCCTGTTGTTGTTGCGATGAAATTGGCGTTGTTGCCTTGTACATATTCATCTGTCAATTTGCCCTATTTTGCCATTTTTTCACATTTTTATAATTCTTGATACGCTGCAAAACTGAGCGTAGCAACTGTAGGCTTTTTGTTTATTGCCATAGCAATAACATACTAAATTTTTTCGACATTTGGACAAGTAGAAGCAAAGTTATAGCGATATAAGCGATTTTTTAAATTCTTCCATAGTAATTCCCATACAAATTTCAAATCATTGGCGCGACCTCTAAACCTTCATCAATCTTTACCAATTTTTGCACAGGTTCATATTTTGGGGCTATGAATCGAACTGGAGGGTGGCCCATCAGAAATTCATCACTTTTTTCAGAATGAAGCACCCTAGTGTTCACTGGTTGGTTGAAATGACATGTGTAATTTTGAATTTAAAATACATTATTTTCAAAAGCAAAATAAGCTTTTTTTCAAAATAATAAAATTTATTTACTTTTCATAAATATTAAATGGTGTTTTTTTTTTTAAAAAATAAATCGAGATAACAATATAAAAAGATCCAGGAATATGTGTTATCGGTGGTGATGCTTTCTTTTACGTTTTGGCTTCGGTCTTGGAGCTGTCTTCACTTTGAGAGGAACCACAATGTTCAAGTGCGATAGCGATAGGTGCATGGATAGGTACAGAAGAAGATGACCCAACAAATAGCATCATGATCGGTTCCCGGTACATTTTCATCCGACGTCAGATATTAAATCGGACGGTCCTTGGCGAAAAAAAATATATAAAAATAAATTTATTGTAATCCTTTGCATCTACTGTTAACAGTTGTTGATTACTCACTTGCATTCTGAGCCGTTCCCCCGCATAAGCGCGAACCATAAATTGACCTTACCTAAAATGGTTAAAATTGTTTATAATCCCTGCTAAACTTCAACTGAAATGGATATGGAACTTTACATGAACGTTTAATGATAATGTTTTAACCTTAAGTATTATAGTTTTTTGGAAGTGGACCTTACAAATAATGGGTTGTTAAGAACCACAAAAAACCATAATACATAAGCTTAAAACTGTATCACACAATCGTTCATGTAAAGTTCCATAACCATTTCAGTTGAAGTTTAGCAGGGATTATAAACAATTTATAACCATTATCGGTAAGGTCATGTGATGGTTCGCGTTTATGCGGGCCATCCTACTTGCAGGAGTTGATGATTTCCAGCGCTCGCTTTTAATCTTGAACGGGTTGAGTTCAATAATTCCGTTCAATTGAGGATCACGTTGCTTTCGTTGAGGAAATCGATGAGCTGTACTGATGGCATTGCTCTTACTTTAGATTCTGCAAAAATATCCAAATTGTATTCTCAAAATTGTACTTTCAAATAAAAACTCACATCGATTAGAACAGCTCAGCACTGTCTTTCCCGGGGAGATCTTTTGTTACATCCGTCTTCTCGATGCTGTCTTCAACAAAATTTAATAGTATTTGTTTCCGTTTTACCTGAAATTAATCAGTTTCTTACGAGGTTTCTTATTAAATTCCAATGCTCTATATGTATTTTCATTTCATCTCTTACCTGAAGCAAATGTTTTCCGCGGAACCTGCTTTAATTAAGTACTTGTGATTGATGAATTGAAATATAATTATTGATCAAAATTCCGTCCCAGCTTTTTCTAGCCTCTTTGTCTAGTGACGTCAAGTCAAATTTAGCGGCAAAAGAAGGCTCCGTGTTGCCAAATACTTTGTTATGAATTGGTATTTTTGACAATTTAACAACTTTTATTTAAAAGTATGAGCTTTTAAAATTACAAGTCGAAAGTGAAAGAAAATTTTTTAAACAAACAAAATTACTTTCATTCAGAATATTTTCGTAAATTCGGGAAACTTTTAATTTGAAATGGCAATATTTTTATAAGAACCATTTCAGAGCAGAAATACAGTATTTCAGAAAACTTGACAGAATTTGATTTTTTTTTAGGAAATTCAGAAGATTTTTATTGCGGTTCTTGGATTTTAAGAGAAGTTTACAGAACTGCAGGTAAGTTCGCTGATCTTTAGAGATATTTGCACAACTTCAGAAAAAAAGTAAAACTTCCGGAAAGCTCAAAAATTTGTAGATAAACTTTTAATTCTTTAGAAAATTGTGTAGATGTTCAGAGATATTTGCAGATATTCATTTAATCATGAAAATCTATAGATAAAATTACATAACTTTCGAGAAGTTCGTAGATTATTAAAAATGTTGTGAATATCAGAGATAATTGTTGATCTTTAAGGATCTTAAATCTTCAGGGATTCAGCCCAACAAACAATTCACAGTCACAAATAAGCATACCCATTGAATAAATGCTGTATAACAGTGTACAATGCTGAATAAAACAAGATGTCGAATTATGTGCTGAAAAAAGCTCATTGAGATCGATAGATGCGCCTTTATTCCGCCGTTTGCCCTGATATGATTAATTTACTTATTAAAAGCTTTATAAACGTTGACTGTCTTCCTGATTCAGAACCAGAAGTTTGATCTAATAACAAACTGAATAAGTGTAATTTTCACATACATTGTCGCTTTAATTCGACTGTTTTCAATTGCTTTAATAAAATGCTTTATTTAGACGCCTTATAAATGTTTTATAGCTCCATTATTAGATTTCATTGCATTGCTTTACAATATTGCTGTATAAAGGTGAATACAGTCAGCAAAATAGCTCTTATAAAGGGTGATACGGTCAAAATTTGGTCAATATCAACTTGACGTATTTCTTTCAATTTTGCATTTAAAAAACCTGAACACCCCTCGTTTTGAAGGTGTGTGTGTGTAGAATGTTGCTCCTATTTTGATTTTGGAATTCACTCTTCAGTTGTCAAAATGCCGTCCAAGCAAGAAGAGCAGCGTATCAAAATTTTGCTCGCGCATTGCGAAAATCCGAGCTACTCGCACGCAAAGTTGGCAAAATCGCTAAAAGTTGCCAAATCAACCGTTACAAATGTAATTAAAGTGTTTGGGGAACGTTTGTCGACAGCCAGGAAGTCTGGATCGGGGGGAAATCGAAAACCGGAAGCCGCTGAGACGACAAAGAGAGTTGCCGGTAGTTTCAAGCGAAACCCTAACCTCTCTCTCCGAGATGCCGCAAATAAGCTGGGTGTATCGTCTACAACCGTGCATCGAGCCAAAAAACGAGCCGGACTATCGACTTACAAGAAGGTAGTGACTCCAAAGCGCGATCCCGGAGGCTGTACACGACGATGCTGACGAAGTTTGACTGCGTGGTAATGGACGACGAAACCTACGTCAAAGCCGACTACAAGCAGCTTCCGGGACAGGAGTTTTATACGGCAAAAGGAAAGGGAAAGGTAGCAGATGTTTTCAAGCACATGAAACTGTCAAAGTTCGCAAAGAAATATCTGGTTTTGCAAGCCATCTGTACCTGTGGCTTGAAAAGCAACATTTTTATAGCTTCCGGGACTGTCAACCAAGAAATTTACATGAAAGAGTGTTTGAATAAACGTCTGCTGCCTTTCCTGAAGAAACACGGTTGTTCCGTACTGTTTTGGCCGGATTTGGCATCTTGCCATTACGGTAAAAAGGCCATGGAGTGGTACGCCGCCAACAACGTGCAGGTGGTTCCCAAGGACAAGAACCCTCCCAACACGCCAGAGCTCCGCCCAATTGAGAAATACTGGGCACTTTTACTCACTTTTGAGTAAACGACGGTTTCGCACAGAGTGAGTCAAAACTACTCTGTGATATTTTCAGTCGCATGCAATTCCTACTTACCTTACTACATTTCGCCGTTTCTTTGAGCGTTTGCTCTGACACGGCTGGCATTTTTCCTAAGTCCCAGATTTGGCTGACTGAGTGACTTTTACTCAGTTTGACATTTCTTGTTTATTCAGATTTTGACAACCTAATGCACCAGACGAAATTGAATACGATCGACTCACCCGGTGAGTAAGCTGAAGTAAGCGTGTATACCGTCTTAACCTCAACTTGACATACAACCTCTTGTATGCCAAATGACGAGCTCAAAAATGATTGCAAGCAACATCGTAACGCTCAAAATCTTGCACGGAAATTGCGTGCAAGCTAGAAGTTCCAAACATATATCTGCGCCAAATTCAGTTAAATCACACGTGGTGCTCTTTTTGCAGCGCATGGGAAAAAAGCTATTCAAAGGATTCCAACCACTCAAACCGCAACATCTTGCTCGATCGAATTGCGTTATTTTTCGACTGAATTGAACTGAAAGAATGCAATGCTGCTAGGGGCGCATTCGTGCATGAAGCATGTGTACAGTACGAACCGAACTGAGAATCCTTACAAGTTCCAGACTGGACTCATGTTGTTATATGCATTTCACTTTTGCTGCTGTCTGTGTACAGGGTGATTTGGCTCTAAAAAGTGATGAATTTAATACATTCGGTCTCTGCGTAGTTCCTTTCGAACGGCACGTGTGTATCATCTTCGTTAAGGAATGCCGTAAATCACACTCCTTGCGGCATATTCCGTTCAAGGCAGGAAGTGTGATACGTAATGTTTAAGGGGAAGAGGAAACCTGTAAAATGTTGTTAATCATTCCTTGGAAGAAGGTGCGTGCGTGCGGGAGTGCTTTCAAATACCTATCTACAACCCATATAACGTACTGCAGTTTGCGGGAATGTGAGGGCTATCGAATATCCATTCCGTCGTCATCGTCGTCGTCGTCGTCTGATATTTGACTTCGTGTGGTTGACTCCCAACCAGTTTATTAGCGATTTCTCATTTAGTCGTACTCGAACGGCCGGCCAGAGTGCTACACGAAGATCTAGGTTAGTGTGGTGGATATATGGATACCGGATCGCACTACTTGGTGCAAAGCAGTGATTGTTCAATTCTAAATTTCAATTAAGTTGTTAATGTAGTGATTAATGGGCGTCGTGGATATAAGGATATAACTGAATGACTTGAGTTTCATATAGCAAAAGTCATCGAAGAAATTTTACGATTCATCAAAACGGAACTTCAATGGTTTCCTTGTTCTGCTTCAATGAGTTCATAGTTCTGTTATAAGCGTACTTATGGGTGTTTTCGATGTTTCCAGAAATGACCGACGAACGGACGCCTTTAACTTCTGGTCCACCGCCACTGTTGGATTCGGAGTCTCCATCCTACATCCATCACCTCAAGGGTCACGAAACGTACCGCGAACGGCAGGTGAAAACCTTCCAGTGCTGGGTTTGTACCGCCATCTTGTAAGTGTGGGCCATGTACCGGTTTTCCAGGGTTGAAACATGAAATATATTTTACTTTCAAGGAGTGCCTTCATCATTGGAATCGTCATCAGCCTCAGTTATATTATTTTGGGTGACACAAAGCAAGGACCGTCCAACAGCACAAACGTTACGGATACAGCGAACTTCCCGGATTTGCTTAATCTGATTAGCTTTCCTTTAGCCGGTACTCGCTTGACAAGGTCTTTTTCCGATGCAGCAAGAGCTCTTATATAACGATTTCTTATTTATAGATGAACCCATTCCGGTGTGGGACGCACCAAATATAACCGACCAAGATGCAGCCGACGCCATTGCTGAGGGCGAAAAAGCCCTTGGTGATAAGGAACTGCTGGAAGAGGCATTGACGGCACCTCCGGTACAGTCGGCCACTTTCCGGCATCAGAGAGCTGTCAGTACCACTTTAGCTGCCCGGTTGGCCTCCAAGGTTGGGTATGTGGAGAACAAAGCTACGAAGGCGATCGCTAAGAAGCATAATGTGAACAAACGCCACCGGCGTTGGAGTATCGGTAAGGGTCCTGCCATCAGCGTACCTCACCAGAACGGTACACAGCAGTGCGATTTCAACGCCAAATATAGGATTAACAATGGGACATGCAATAATAAGAAGAATCCTCACTCTTACGGAGTAGCCTTGATCCCGTTCCGTCGTCAACTGACTCCGGACTACGGCGATGGAGTGTCCAGTCCACGTGAATCCGTAGATGCAAAGGAGCTGCCCAGCGCACGACAGGTTTCGTTGGATATTCACCGCCCATCGTACCATAGTGATCCTAATTTTTCCGTCATGCTCGCTGTTTGGGGTCAGTTCCTGGATCACGACATAACATCTACGGCGTTGAACCAGGGAGTAGGCGGTAAGGCCATTGAATGCTGCGATCCGGGTCAACCTCAACATCCGGAATGCTACCCGGTTCCGTTGGGTCCAGGCGACCCATACTACAACGAATATAATGTCACCTGCATGAACTTTGTCCGCTCGATCCCGGCTCCGACGGGACACTTCGGACCTCGTCAACAGCTGAATCAGGCTACGGCGTACATCGATGGTTCCGTAGTGTACGGATCGGATGACGTCAAAGTGAAGCGACTGCGCACGGGCAAGGATGGTAAACTACGAATGTTTACTACCCCGGACAACCGGGAGTTGCTCCCCATATCAACTGACCCTAGCGATGGTTGCAACGAGGACGCAATGAATGCAGCAGGCAAGTATTGCTTCGAATCGGGTGATGAACGAGCTAACGAAAACCTTCACCTGACGTCGATGCACTTGATCTGGGCGAGGCATCACAACAACCTGACTGGAGAACTGCAGAAGATCAACCCGGACTGGGATGACGAACGGCTGTTCCAGGAAGGTCGGCGAATTCTAGCAGCGCAAATGCAGCACATCACCTACAGAGAGTTCGTTCCGGTGATCATAGGCGAGAACATTAGTGAGCAGATGGAACTGACGCCGAATCCGGATAATGACCGGGATACGTATAATGTATCGGTTGATCCTTCGATTGCAAACGTATTTGCTGCGTCGGCCTTTCGCTTTGCGCATACACTGCTGCCGGTAAGTTGGGTTTGTTGAAATATTGATTCAATATTAACCTTTTGTTTTCCAACAGGGTCTCATGAAGCAGACTCACGATCCGACATCGTCCCCATCAGGAATCGAACTGCACAAGATGTTGTTTAACCCGTACTCCTTGTACGGCAAGACGGGTCTGGATGACGCGATCGGTGGAGCCATGAGTACACCGCTGGGAAAGTACGATCAGTACTTCACCACCGAGTTGACGGAGCACCTGTTCGAGAAAGCTCATGATCTACTACATGATCGCCCTTGTGGACTGGATTTGGTGTCGTTAAACATTCAACGAGGTCGGGACCATGGTCTTCCATCGTATCCACACTGGCGACGGCACTGCCGTTTGCCACCGGTGGACACCTGGGAACAACTGGCTCAGGCCGTTGACCCGAGTTCGTACGACCAAATGCGAAAGATGTACCGTGAACCGGAAAATGTAGATGTATACTCCGGTGCTCTAAGCGAACCACCCGTCCAGGGAGGTATTGTTGGACCTCTGATCACTTGTCTGCTGGCGGATCAATTCCTCCGTATTAAGCAGGGCGATTCCTTCTGGTATGAACGTAGGAGGGGACCTCAGCGATTCACCAGAGGTAAGTTCCTATTGCTATTATTCAATCATTTTTCAATAAAAAGAAATCTATCCTTCCTTTTCCCTACAGACCAATTGCTGCAGATTTATAACACTCGTCTGTCGAGCATCATCTGCCGCAATTCGGATGCCATCACCCAGTCACCGGTCTACCTGATGCGGAAGGTGAACCGCGATGACAATCCGGAGCTGCCGTGTTCGCTGTTGGACACATTCGACTTTGGAGTGTTTCGTGATAAGAAAGGCGCTGACTCGCGGCGGGTGAAACTGGCGACGTCACAGGTCGGTGTTATGGTTGTGCAATCCACCCCGGCAGATCCAGTAGTGGATGGGAATCGAACAGATACGAGCGAAGCAATGACGGTGACGACGATGACGACTGCGTCGTCGACATCGAATTCGACAACTACTGCGTCGTCAACATCGACGGCAGCGCCGACTTCGACAGCTACTCAAAAAACTATAGTATGATGTGAGTGATACATCAGGGAGTAGGAGTAGAAGCTAGTGTTGGATACTTGCTTTAGGTTTGAAATTTGGTGTCAGCAATAATGAATTTGTAGCAGCAATTACATTTGTAACGGGAAGCTGAGGGTAGAATGTATCTCTGGGAGAAAATGGTCTTTAGTAGTTAACACAGCTTTGTGACAGGCTATTTGTATCATAAAAGCAATTGCAACGTAAGATAATATATGAAAGTATGATCATTATGATTGTTTCTAGTATATTTAGTGTAATATTCCGTTGATGACAAAATCACTCAACTAATTCTAGATAGAGCAAAAATAAGGGCCTAACAACTTTTGAAAACTATTGCTTCTCTCGATGATTTCTAGGAATTCAAGTCATGCCCGTCGCGCACGTAAACTTTAAATTAAAAGAAATCATCGTTAGAAGTCATTATTTACAAAAGCTGTTAGGCCCTTATCTAACTCTATATACAATTGTCGTTACATCATAGTCATTAGAAGCGTAGAAGTCCGGAATAATCTTATGCCTTTCTTAAACTGGTGTTTTAGGCCACAGCACAATGTATCCAAAACGGTGCACAATGCATCCGAGTTTGACACGTAGCGGCTAAGTGACAGCTTGTCTAAAGGGCCACCCACATTAGATCTGGTCAGAGCCGTTGCGGTAAAGTGACAGCTAAGCCTAACTGTCAAATTTACGTCAACGCAACGCAAACGGATCTTATTTGGGTGGCCCTTAATTGTCAGATTTACAGCGACAGCAGTTCTAGAGCAGACGTGATAGCCAGCCAACTGTCTACGGCAGGACAGGACAGATGTGACCGCTTACCAACTGCGTGTGCTGCGACTTGGTCAGAGTCTTCTACACTCTAAGAACCCGGTGTCACTCCTGCCTTTGCACAACGAGGGTTTGTGCAGGGCTTATCGACCTCCTGGGACGAGCTGGATGGGGCTCCAGAGCGTCCTTACTCTGCTGTAGTTCGTTTAGCCGCAATCTCTCTCCCTTGGGTAATAATTATACGTTTCCAGGGCACACCACGAGGAGGCGAACTACTTCATGCCCCGGACACTGTTGCATGTAAAATAATCTAGGTGTGTACTAGCCTTTTTTTGACAAGGAAACCTTCAAAAAGGCCATCGCGCCACCGCTTGACGACTGGGCGCACAGACGCGGTGACACGGTGTGTGGGATTCTTACCGCACTAAAACCTTCTTGGACGTCTTGCCCTTTCCCCCGGAACCACTTGTCGTATTACTTCGGAGGGGGCCGTGCATTACGCACCTCACTTTACCTCAGCTAATTGGCGTTTCCAGTTCGCTGATCGTCTCTCCAATTTGTGAGCCATTTAGCTCCCAGCGTTACGTTCTACTCGGTTATCCCCGGTGGTGGATTCAGCCTACTCTGACGGAGAGTTCTCCCGGCTTCGGCTTTCAGTTGGCACTTGTGTGAGCACATTACTACTTTCTAGTTGGTCTTCTCACCATTTTCGCTGCAGCGCTGACATGATCTGCGTTACTGCTCTGCTGACGGCGTTAAAGGTGCCCTCTTCTCGACACATTTCTTCGACGACATTCTCCGCGCTAAGGGCGAGCATATCCTCTCGCACGTCATCAAATCTAGGACATTCGAAGACCACGTACTCTGGTGATTCTTCCACATTCCCACACTCCGGACAGAAGGGTGAAGTTGTGTGTCCGAACCGAGGCATGTACTTCCTGAAGCAGCCATGACCAGACAGGAACTGCGTCAGAAGTTGACTTCTCCATGCTTCCTGTTCACCCAGGTCGAAAGAGTCGGTATTAGCCTGTGTGTCCATCTACCGTTCTCTGCTGCATCCCACTCCTGCTGCCACTTAGCCATCGACTCCGTTCTCAGCATTTTTCGTACTCCTCTGGTTTCTCTCGTCATATAGCACTCGTAGTCCTCCACCAAGGTGATGCCGATTGGAATCATACCGGCGATAACGCATACTGCCTCCATCTGTACGCACTCACTACTCGCATGGCCATGAGTCGGAACGTACTGCTCAATTTCCTTTGGCTCTGCTTCGTTTTAAGCGCTTCAGTCAAGGCTGGTCCTCCGTACCTTAGTATCGATGAGGACACACTAGCCAGAAGACGCCTCTTGCTGCTGCTTGGACCAGAATTGATCGGCATGATTCTGGCTATTGCGTTGATGACCTTCACCGCCTTCTCGCAAGCATATTCAATGTGGCTATTAAAGTTTAGCCGGTCGTCGATCATTACTCCCAGATACTTTAGCACGCGCTTCGAAACAATGGTGTGCTCTCCAACGGTGATTTCTGCCCGCTGCACTGCTTTGCAGTTACTGACCAACATCACTTCTGTTTTGTGGTGGGCTATATGCAGCTTCGCTCCTTGCATCCAGTTACCAATCGTATCTATCGCCTCGGCCGCCAACATTTCCACTTCTTCCAGCGTCTCACCGGTTACCGTCAAGACGACATCGTCCGCAAAGCCAACGATCTCAACTCCTTTGGGCAGCTTGAACGTCAGCACGCCATTGTACATTCCATTCCACAGCGTGGGACGTAGAATGGAGCCTTGTGGAACTCCCGCCGTGATTCTAAGCAAATTCTGCCCCGTGTTTGTCACGTAGACCAGGACCCGGTTCTGGAAGTAACTACTTAGAATCCTGCAGAGGTAGTCTGGAACCCTCATTCTATGGAGCGCCTTGGCGATGGCCTCCCAGCTGGCGCTATTGAATGCATTCTTCACATCAATCGTAATCACGGCGCAGTATCGATTTCCTCTCCGCTTCTGTTTGGAAGCTTTCTCGGCTCTGTCAATCACTGTCCGAATTGCATCCACCGTCGATCTCCCTTTCCGGAATCCAAACTGCCTCTCCGACAATCCGCGTTCGCTCTCCGTGCATTCCGTCAGCCTGTTCAGGATGATCCTCTCCAAGAGCTTTCCGACAGTATCCAGCAAGCAAGCATCCCCCGACGGTTTTCCGGGTTTCGGCAACAGTACAAGCTTTTGTACCTTCCACCTATCAGGGAACTGACCCTCGTCCTTCAACGCCACGTTGGGAATTCCATCCGGTCCGGGAGCTTTATTCGCTTTCAACCCTTTCGCTGCTGCTATGAGTTCCTCGTTGGAGACTTGTTCAACGTTGTCTTCATCTACCTCACCATATGGTGTAGGTGGCCAGCTCGTTGGGTCATGCTGTGGGAAAAGTCCCTCCACGATAACTTTCAACTTGCTGGGACACATTTCAACCGGCATCGTTGGACCTCTGATCTTTGCCATCGCTCTCCTTGAAAGCTGCGCTCTTAACCGTATGATCCCTTTTCAGCTCAAATAGCATCTCGCCTTTCTGGGTTCGCTTGGTTTTCACCACGTTCTCGTCTAGTTGTTTCAACTCCGGATCCTCTCTCACTTTCCGGAGGAGTGCTGCGTAGGACGTTTTGTCCTTCGCCTCAACAACCAGAGCGTTACCCTTGCTTCTCTCCCTACGAGGCCTAGGCTTCTCCTTATTCTTCCTGTCTTCCTTCTTCTTCTCTTCCTTCTTCCTCGCTTCCTCTTCCTTCTTCCTCACTTCATCTTCCTTCTGTGTTTTCTTCCTCTCCTTCTGGTTCTCGACTATACGCCACCCACCATTTTCTCCCATCTACTTGATGCCTTCCTCGTCCTTACGTTTTCTGGGCTCCTTCCCAATCTCCTGGCGTGTCCCTATCTCTCTTTTCAGGACGTGGATTTGTGGGTCTCTTCGGCGTCTCATGTGCTTCAACCAGTCTTATGCTCTCCTTGGCCTCCCGGAGAGCCTTAACGGCATTTTAGGCTCTTTTTCTCCACTCTTGGAATTCCCGATCTGCCACTGTTATGCCGGATTTGATTCCAGTCACAAGTTGCTTGATTTCTTTGTGTACGTTGTTTTTATCCTTTACGAACACATAGAGATCATCGATCTTCCTCCTGACCTCCGTCATTTTGGTTCTCCTAAGCTGCAATTCTTGCTGTTTGCCACTGCTGGATTTCGGTGCGAATATTGGGGTCCATGCTGTTCCACTTGGGGTATGCTACTACTGGAACTTGCTGTGGTCAACTGGTTCGCCGCTGGTGATCTCTGCAACTTTCCGTTTCTTGCGAACACGTTCGCTCCTCCGTTTTCACTATCTGGCGTCTTGCCGTCGTCTTTCATATTTTTTTTTTGGTCTTTTCATTTTCGCCATTTTTGTTTTTTTCTCCGCTTTAAACCATTCTGATGGGCCGCTATCTCCACTCGTTGTATGTAGTCTCCTATCGTGATCCCATGGTTATCTATGCAAGCAGGGAGGCTATGCTAGGGTTGACACGGTCCTTCACGGGGGACGTGTTCAGAGCCAGATCGGCGTAAGTCAGGAATGTTTCATCTGAGCCAACTACTCATCAATCACCAATTGGTGAAGAGTTTTGAACGTATCCGGAGGCCTGCCAAGGTTTTACCGGGACGCCCACTCGCCATTTCAAGAAGGTGTCACCCTTCTTTACTTAGTGAGCAGAATAGCACGACTGTCAGCCCTGTAGCGTGGTATCCAATCCATTGTGCCGTGTCGTGTCCATAGTTCAATGCCGTGTCCAGTATGCCGTAATAAGGATCTTACTGGTGTCGATCCTAATGTGCCGGTTGGCACTCCTGCGGGTTGACGAAGCATTTCCTCTATCGCCGTGTTATCCTAGCTTGGTAATTAGGTTTTGCACCGTCGGGGTTAACCTCAATCTGATGACAGTTCAGTGGTACTGTTTACGTGGACTTAGTCGATTTTTTCTTGGGTATATTTTCTGGATCATTTTTCAGATTGCAGTGAGCTGTAAACCACACTTTTGCAATGTCCACGAGCAACATCCTTTCACCACGCATTTCCTCAACAATTTTCAAGTTAAAATTCGGAAATTTTAAAATATATTTTTTTCGAAAAAACGACTAAGTGCTTGTAAACAGTACCACTGAACTGTCAAAAAGGTTCAGCCGTTTAACACTGAGTTCATTTGTGACGTCACGCTGCAGAACCTAATAGAGCACTAGTGATTGCTGTGAACATTCTGGTGTATACCATGCACCTGGTAAGCACAGTGTACACTAATCTCCTCTATCCTGCACTCTAAATATAGTTAACTTGAAATGGTTCAGAATCAACTCACACGGAAAGATTAAATTAATACTCCAACACTTCCCCTCAATTAATCATTCCTAG